TGGGGGAATTCCTGTTGAATAAAACTTCGGGATGAAACCATTTGTTCTCATTCAACTGAAGCGTATATTTTCCTTTTCTTCCTCTAGTGTTGGATCTGTTTAAGCAACTGGCCGCCGAAAATCTCGCCGCCATGTATTGCGTAACGGTGGCCTTTTTTGAGATCTACTGTAATAAGGTACGTGCGAGGAAGCAACTGGCACTAAGAATACAGAAAAACTTTTCTATAGTAAAGCAGCTTATAATTATGATATTTTTTTACCATCGTGAAATTTTGTTATAAAACACCGTATCCGTCAATTAAGAGATATTGTCTTTAAGGAATACAACACGATCCACATCAAAGTTGTAAAGTTTTTATGAGAAATACGTGACCTCTTACTCATACTGTAGGGAAGTGTGAACATTCCCCCAGACTGAGATTATTCAGCATGTACTTTGAAACCTTGAATTCAGTTGTAACGGTCGGTAGTGTTCAACATTATTCAGCAGTTTAGGATCTTTTTTAAACCGAACTAAATATTTTCTTAAAATATAAGCTTTTAAGGGGCATGATTCGCTATCAAGCGAGTACAGTAAGGGATATTTTTTGTGTAGGTTTTTTATAAAATATATTTAAGTCTATCAGGGCATTCAAATGCAATGATAAAAATGCATACTACTTCAGTAGCCATTTTATACCGAGTCTGCTTATTGCAGACAGGGAGAAAGAACCACATTCGAAAGCTGGCACCTTGACGTAAATTAGGTATCTTAAGATTAGTTTCTATGGCAATCAGTATTATAACGCTACAACGTGGTCGGGAATTCATGCGAAATTCGGAAAGATTGGTAATCACTCGCAAACTGGTGTTAGTTCATGTACAAGAATTTTAAACTACTAATAAACAACCTTAGGAGGATTTGTAAGTTGAATGAAAAATAAAAAGGTACTGAATTTCTATTTAGAAGATCAAATTTTCAAAGGAGTACTTAGGTTCTACAGAAGCGCAAAATAGTTATAAATTAGACCAATAAATGTAAATATCATCGTCAGTAGAAATCATACACAAATTAATTTTTCTATTGCAAAGTAAGTTTCTTGTAAGATTTCTTAATACATACTTCAGGTGTCAGATTACAATTAATTTCAAATCGTCTTTTAAATTCCGGCAAAGTTTGTACCATTTTCAGTGTTTTCAAGCTTTCTTCCATAAATGCAGATTCTGTTTCAGTTTTTGGATATTAGTTTTGATGAAGATGGCCATGCGGACTATGTTTACGAACTGCCCGAAACGCAAAAACACGCTGTCAAGCAATGAGAACGTCCAAAATTTCGATATTCAGCTGCCGAATATCTATGCATGTTACCTTTTCCGAAAGTAGCGTCAGCTTTAGAAAAGAGAATTTTTAACGGGTTTTTAATTTACATAAAAAATCATACAATTTTGGCTGAAAATAAAAGGGCTTATATAGCAGCATTTTCACCATATTTGATTACTTTTAGGCGCCGTTCTAAGATTGCAAATTAAAAAAAAGACGGGCCTAATTTACTCTAAAAGTTTGCGAAAATTCCTTATGTTCTCTCTCGCTCTCTCCTCTTTCTAGATTACACATAAGCGGGAATTATATTGTACAAAAATGTATCTTTTCACATGCTTCAGTTCGCCTCCGTTTACCCGCTAAAATATATGCATTTTTGGTTACTGTCCCAAATCGGCGTTGTGGTAAAACAAAAATATGGCGTAAAGTGTTTTTACTGCGTCTTGCAGCAAACAGCTACATGCATTGACAAAAAAATAATTTTAAACAGTGGAGTTTTTCCTCAAACTTGGTTCTCCCTGATTTTCATTAACTGTAGACTACATTTTCCGGTACTGAAGGAAATATATTTTTAAACGTTCCTTGCTAATATTGGGGTGCTTCCATAGCACAAGGCACACAAATAAAAGCTTCCGTTCTGTCGTAGGAAATGTGTTCGATATCAACTGTCCTCAGATTTCGACAAAATTCTGCTTATAACCCTTAAAAAATGAATCGAACGGGCAGTTTTCCCTACCTAAGGGCTTCTCCCCCTCTGTGACCATATTTAAGACTAAATTGGACATGAGCCAAACATGTTTTTCATCAGTGTAAGGCTGATTCAGAAGGCGGTGAGGTAAACCATTTTATTTCACATGCTCATACTACTCATGCTAGGTCAGTAGTCACGTATTACTATTTATATTCCACCATTTTTTCGCTATTTGCTTACACGCATGTATTTCACGTTCATTTTTCTATTGCTCTTTTCTATCCATGCATTTTTACCTACTTTATGACAGATAGGGAGTTTAAAAGCATTCGGCGATGTATTAGCTCAATAAGCGGATACTGATACTAAATCCACTCAGTAGATCAAAACAGCCCGACCACATGTAGGCTAAACTATGAAGTCCAATTTTGACCATGACTTTGCCCTAATTACTTTA